GCATTAGAAGAAGATGTAGAATGAGGACTAGCATTAGAAGAAGATGTAGAATGAGGACGAGCATTAGAAGAAGATGTAGAATGAGGACTAGCATTGCTGACGTCACTTGAATCTTGGCTGAAAGCAGAGAAGACCAAGAAGATGTTTACTTGTGCTCTATTTACTGTGCCAAGACATGGGGCTGTGTGGATCATTAAAGAGTTACAACCTTGTGAGGAATGAACTTGCAGTCCCAGGAGCTGAGGTGGTCAGATGGGTGACCTCTAGGCAAGCAGGTACCCTTGAGAGGATCTAATTGCATGGGTGTTAGGTGATATTATATAAAGCTTCCAGAGAATGCTTAGGAGGACTTTCACTTATCAAACATGACTTGAAGAGACGTCTATCCCATAATGGATATTTTCCCAGCATGACCACCCCAGGGCTTTCGGGCCACGCCATTGAAGCAGGATCAGCCCACAGAACCAGCCCCAGCATTTACCTGGTGCTGTTGGCGCTGGCCTGATACTCATAGAAATGTATGGCCGAGTGACTCTGTGCCATCCAATATTGCTTGATTTTTCCACTTCTGTCCTCAAGCCCTGTTGGCCAAGAGATGTCATCCTGACCTCTGTGTTGCTTGGTTTCAGTTTGTGGTCGTAGTCAGCATTGTGACCTTCAGGCCCCCACACTATGGCACCTACGTCTTCCCCGACTGGGCCAACGTGCTCGGCTGGGTCATTGCCACATCCTCCATGTCCATGGTGCCTATCTACGCCACTTACAAGTTCTGCAGCTTGCCTGGGTCCTTCCGAGAGGTGAGTACTGGGAGGGAGGCAGCACCACCCTGGGCTTTTCTCAATTGTGAGGCCATTCAACAACCCACGTCCCCTGCCCCAACAGGGGAAGGAAGGCAGGAAGGGGTGGACCCAGTGAAGACTGCAGAAGCTGACTGGCACATGCTGTTGAGGGGGGTGGTGACCTGTGTGTGGTGCACCATGTGTGTCTGTGTATGTTTGTACTTGCATGCCTGTG